TGAGATTCTCAACAGATTCTTGTTGAGAATCTCAACAGATTCCTGGTGAGTGATTAACAGCCTGCTAAACTTTGTAAATCTTAGCTAAGTGATATGAAGGATTGATTGTACATTTATTATCCTTTAGACATAAGCCATTGACACATCATTCACAGTCTGGATCCACCCACACCTAGGCTGCTCGCTGGGGAGTTTGGATAGCAAGAGGGCCCTTTCTGAACCTCATGACTAGTAAGAGGGTGTCCTGACAGTTTTGTCTTACCCTGTGCTCTATGCAGTGAACAATCAAGTGTACCTTGCCATCAAATCCTGTTAAAGCACTGTCACATTTACTAACAAACTTTGTTAAATCCCTGTTTTATATCAATATTCATAGAATCATAGAATGGTTTGGGTTGGAGGTGACCTAAAAGCTCATCCAGTTCCAAGCCCCTGCCATGGGCAGGGGCACCTTGCACTAGAAAGGTGTTTCTATTGATTCAGAGAAAACTCCAGGAACAAATTCGCCAACAGTTTTAAGTTGACAAGCAGGTATTCTTTCTTGTGGCACCGGCAGACACGGGGGATAGCTCCTCCTAACGTGTATCACCGTATTGCTGCACAGGCCATCCTTATATGGCCACTGGGCCTACATACATATTCATGAGGCTACACATGAATTACATCATTTTCCAGAAAGTTTTCCGCATGCATACAAAAATGTGGTGGTGGTCTCTGAGGGTTGTTTGCTTCTTCCAACAATCTTCACCACTTCTGACAGCCTTCGAAGCACCAGCTTAATTAACATTACAGACATAGCAATCATCCTGTCCTTCTACTTACCAGGTAGTTTAACTGTGCCCATCCTGGATATCAGCTAGTCCCAGATACTCCCCAGTAGATGATTATACCACCTTAATGGGTTCCTTAACACCACAAACATAGCAATTATCCTGTCCTTCTATTTATCAGGTAGTCCACCCTGGACATCTGCTAGTCCCAGATACTCCCCATCCCCAGGTCCTGTTTCTCTATTTTGCTTTTGTGGGGGTTGGAATGTATCAGAACTGGGAGAGACCATGGGAAGGGGAATCTACAGTGGACAATTAAGAATGATCATGGACAGGAGGAACTGCAGAAGGCAATTAAAGAGTGACCTGTCCCTGACTGGTACTTGGAAGACGTCGGAACTGGGAAGAGGATGTGAAGAAAATCAGATGGACTTTTCACCTGATGTAACTGCAAGGCAGACACAGATGTGCTTGGCTAGTTGCTTGAAAGTGTATAAATATTGTGTAATCTTTGCAATAAACGATCCAGCTCGCACTCTGCCTCTGGGTCTGTGCCTCCATCCTCACAAATGGCGCCCGAACAAGGACAAGACAGAGAGCCGTGACTCGGCAACCGGTGAGGACGCCCAGCCGAACTCCGAAAGGCTGCAGCAATTAACCGATACCTCTGACTGAGGTAAGCGGCTGGGAACGGGAACTTGGGAAACTCAGTATCCCCTGAGCACAGAGTACTAGTAAAATTCCTAGCGAAGAAGGGAGTTACTGTAAATGAAGATAAATTGAAAGGCTTATTAATGTGGGCCTCGGCCCATGCCTCAGAGGCGACATCAACTAGTATTTACCAGAAGGGAGTGTGGGACAAGATTGGGGTCTACCTTTGGGACGCAGCCACAAGGGATGATGCGGCAGCACCCAAATTGCTGGGGGTATGGTGCTCAGTCTATGAAGCACTTGACAGGGCAGTACAGGAAGCGTCGTCACCGTCAACCCCTTCTGTCCCAACAAACAACACCCCTTCTGTTCTTGCAAACAACACTCCGGACCCTCCCGACCCGGGGCCGATAGACCCAGAAACTGAGCCAGATCTATTCCCACCTGATCCTGGCATTGGCTGTCGTGAGGCGCAAGCTTTCCGATGCTCCCACCTCCGCCGGCAGGCTGCAACAGCAAATGAGCCAGGCAAAGATGACCCTTTTGATCCGGACCAATCGACCCTGACAGAGAACCCTGCCTCTACCCCCCTGACCCGCATGATATGTGGAAAAACATTAAAAAAGAAGCGGGAAATCAAGGTGCTGTGAACCTGCCCCACGACCTGAACGCTCCACATCCCGTCCGTCACGGGGCGAACCGCGGGCTGGACGGCGGGGAGGAAAACGGCGCTCCCGCGGGAGCCCAGCGGAGGCTGCGGGGGGGGCTCCCCTCCAGCAGAGGGGCTGCGCCTGGTGGCGGCGGGACAAGGAGCTGCGGAGCACGGGCGCGCCGCCTCCACATCCCCGCTGCCGCGGCCTCACTCACTCGCACGGCGGCGGCGGCAGCAGCAGGCTCCAGCGGGCTCCCCCCGTTGTCTGCCCGCGGGCAGAGGGGTGTGGTGCTCGCCCGCCCCTCGCCTCTGTGTGCCCCGGCAGGCGCGGGTGCGCGCTGCGCCCGCCGAGATGCGCGCTGCAGGGCGGCGCGGGGTCCGCTCCTCCCGGTGAGAGGCGGGAAGAAACCCAGCCTCTGCTCCGGAGGTTTTTCACCCACAGCAATGGTCTGTTAACAGGTAACGATTCAGTCAAACATGCTACCCTTCAAAATGGAGCTGCCATAGATTTTTTGCTGTTAGCTCAAGGACATGGTTGTAAAGACTTTGATAGAATGTGTTACATGAACCTGTTTAATCATTCTGAGTCTGTCCATGAGGCAATTCAAAACCTAAAGAAGTTCATGTGTTGTGGGTGGAGAGTAGCTGGAATTGGCTAGAAAGTTTGCTGTCAGAATAGGGCATCAGTGCATGCTTCAAAGACATTACTAAAATCGCAGTAGCCTGTGTAAAAATCTTTATATTAATCACAGTTCCTTGTTTAGTTGCTTGCATAAATCATTTGATTGCTAAGTCTATTAACAATGTTTTGTTAGTTTATAAAGAAGGGGGAGATGTGGGGAATGCTGCACAAGAAGCTGCGCAAGTAGACCTGGACAAGAGCCCGGACATCTGGACTCTCATCAGCCACAAACCTTGGGAGAAGTGAACGGGACAAGTCGGGAAGAACTGGAGAAAGAACACTGGGTGGAACTGAAGAAAGACCATCAAGATAATTTCTGAGGACTGTAAATTTGTAAACAGGGGGATGCTTAAGACAAGATAAAGAATGTGTAGTCAAGGGGAAGTGGAAGTGACAATGTAACGAGTAATGATAGCAAAGGACTATGTTTAGAAATAATTACTCAAGCAAAGGCGAGTGAACAGTAATGTTATTGGCTGAAAGAGTGCGTGATCGATAAGACTGTTTTGTGATGGAAAAGTACCAAAGGAACTAACCCCTACTAACCGCTAGGCAGAATACTATAAAAACCTGTAAGCTCACTCAATAAGGGATTTCATTTGTAGCCAGAAACAGAGTCCATGCCTCAGTTGCCACAAGATCGGGCCTGGCCAAGGGGTGCCATCCCGTATAAAGGGCGGCCCGTGTACAGTAGGGACCCTAGGCATGTTCATCCCCAATAAAACCATGATAATAAATAAATGAAAATTGTGTTCTCGAACACATGCTTTTCAACCAAGCTGCGATGACAAAGTAGATTTTTGGAACCCAGGTGAAATAATGACTTCCTCATTTTTAGCTCCCAGAGTAGGTAGCACTCAAGCTTTAGGTACATTGAATAAATTAGGATGTTGGCTTGCTAAGCAAGCTAATGCTACAGCATGCACTCTCTCTGTGTTGCTCACTGATGTTGACTGTTAGACACAGGACTTTGCAAAATAGAGCAGCAATCGATTTTCTCCTCTTAGCACATGGACATGGGTGTGAAATTTTGGAAGGAATGCGTTGCATGAATTTGTCAGACCTTTCAGAATCCATACATGACAGTATCCGTAAACTAAAAGAGAGTGTAATGAAGTGAAGGGAAGATGATAAAGATTGGCTATCCTCGCTTTTCTCTAATTGGGGTATAACAGGGTGGCTAGTGACTTTGGTTAAGGGAGGATTGGTCTTTTTGCTTGCTCTCTTTGCCATTATATGTGTTGTACCTTGCTTATTACAATGTATGCAGCGAATGTTATCCCAAGCTTTTGAAAGACGTGTATACTGCATTGCAAAAACAAGAAGGGGGAACTGTGGGGGTTGGAATGTATCGGAACTGGCAGAGACCATGGGAAGGGGAATCTACAGCAGACAATTAAAAATGATCATGGACAGGAGGAACCGCAGAAGGCAATTAAAGAGTGACCTGTCCCTGACTGGAAGAGGATGTCGATAAGAAAATCAGATGGACCTTTCACCTGATGTAACCGCAAGGCAGACACAGATGTGCTTGGCTAGTTGCTTGAAAGTGTATAAATATTGCGTAATCATTGCAATAAACGATCCAGCTCGCACTTTGCCTCTGGGTCTGTGCCTCCATCCTCACATGCTTTTCTTACACTTTTTGTACTAAGGTCCTAAGGACCTGAACCTATGTCAGCTACCTCCAAGCACCGCAGTTATTTTCCACTACAAAGCCATCAAACTTAACATTACTTAGAACTGATCACATGTGCTTTTGTGCCTCCTTGCATCACTACACAGATATAGTCGCAAGCCCCACCCAGCAGCACTGGCACTGTGCGCCGTGCCGGTGGGCGGTGCTGGCGGAAGCGCTTGCCTGGCCGCTTCCTGTTGGCGCTGTTGTGGTTCCGGGGCAGTCGCAGCAAGGAGCCGGCGATGGAGGAAGGTGCGCAGCGGTGCGGGAAGGGCCTAGCGGAGCCCAGCCCGCGCCCCTAGCTGACCCTCTCTGTGTTCTTTTCTCTCTCCTTGCAGACACTGAGATGCGAGGGGGACCCGACCCAGAGCTGGCTGCCACCATGGGGTTCTCTGGTTTCGGTGCGTTGCGTTGCGGGTCGGGGGGTGTCGGGAACACGGCTAAAGGACGCGGGGAGCGGCTGCTGTGGCCGGCGGGCCTTGGTGGGGGGACCTGGAGGAGGCTATGATTGGAGGTGGGAACAAAGCGGTCGTGCCTGTCACCCCCTTGTCCCGCAGCTGGCCACCTTGAGTCTGTGCTCCAGCCTCTTCTTCATTTTTAGGGAAGAAAGCTCGGACTTTCGATCTCGAAGCCATGTTTGAGCAAACAAGAAGAACTGCGGTGGAGAGGAGCAGGAAGGTCCTGGGTAAGTAATGCAAATGTAGTCAGCTAATGTATTTTAAAACATGTTCTGTGGTTCTCGTTTGAGATGATGTTTAAAGTGTCTCAGATTGGCTGTCTAGAGAGCAAAAAACAAATGCAATTTTTTTCAAGGAAGATGTACAACTGTAGAACTAGGGAATAGTTTGGGTTGGAAGGAACCTTCAAAGGTCATCTTGTACAATCCCCTGCAGTAAGCAAGGGTATTTTCATCTAGATCATGTTACCCAGAACCACATCCAGTCTGGCCCTGGATGCCTCCAAGAAAGGGCTTAAACAACTTGGGTGTTTGTAAATAATAGCATTATTATTTACATGTGTTATCTGACTGTGTATGTGCAGGGCTTCTCTTGTGAGGCACAGCACCTTACAGATACAGAAAAAAGGTCAACTTGAACAGAAGACTTCCATTTCTTCTTTAATTTAGCTGTATATTTGTTTTGGAAGGGAAGGTGATACAGACAGCTTTAATCTAGAGAAAATAGAATAACAAAAAGTGTAACTTATACCAAACAGCAGGTTATATAGCAGACTACAAATTTGTCTCTGTCTTCTGCTGTGCTGGGAACAGGTAAATTTTCAAGGTACTGTTTGAGAGTGGGAGGTAGAGATAATGGTTTCTTTTGTTGCCCATATTCAATCAAGCATCATTTCAAAGAAGGCCCTTGGGAGACACTAGACGTGCCTTTGCAAACCCAGATGTCCGTGCTTCCTCTTTTTCGCTTGGACAGTTTATAGAGCATGTGTGGGTTTTGATTTGTTTTGGTTTTTCATGTGATACTGTCACGGTTGAGCAACTTCTGCCCTATTAGATTGCACTTAATCTGCTCTCTAGTGTTGCAGTTTATGCAGTTAGTCGAAAAAGCACTTTTTCATGAAGAAAGCAATTCTGGTATTTTTATATGAGTAGTTTGTTTGATAGTGTGTACAAACTAGCAACTCGAAGGTGTTCTTGTTTTCCTTGTGACACTTTCTTCAGGGTGATCATTACAGTAGCAATAAAAATTGAGTTTATATGGAAAAGTACTGCTTTCATGTGAAATCCTTTATTTGCTGTTACCTTTTCAAGTATTTCATATATGACATAAAGTGAAGAAAATTCTTTTAGTGTCCTCAGCAAGTCTCTAATTTTATTATTTTCTACAAGTCTTGATTATTTGTCATGTATGTGCTTCTGTATACAGAGGCTCGTGAAAGAGAGAAGGAAGAGCAGGCTGAAAAAGATCTTAGAAGTTCATGCAGCAATTCATCAACTTCAGCATCCGATGCAAAATGCACTGGAATGACATCAACCCAAAGGTACTTGGATATTTTTCTCAACTGTAGATATAGATAAACTTGTTCATGCCTGCTGAATAAGAAACTAGTAGGTGAGGTGCCTCTGTATTCACAGTGAACAGAATAGTAATGGGGTGAGGGGGTTCTGTTTTGACATCCATCTGAAATTTACTTTCAAACTTGCCAACATTTGTGTTCTGTTGACAAACTGTAAGTGCTGTTTGGACAGCAGTTTTTCTTTGACAGTGGATTCTGAAATGCTGGGAGATGAAAGTAGCTTAAGGTAACAGGGACCACACAACTCCATTTTGTGGCAGGGATTATGGAGATCAGCACACTGTAAATTTTTAGGTGTCTAGGTTTCTGTGTCTATGGAAGTCTAATGACCTTAAAACTTTGGTAGCCTGTATGTGTGCATTTTATGGGCTCATAGACTCTGCATGGGGTCGGTTATTATAGACAAACTTCTAGTATTTCAGATTGTGAAAAAAAGCCTGTTGCTTTATGGAAAATGCAGATGGACTCACGTAAATAAATGATTACACAGTATAGTACCCTACAGAGTATACTACCCCGGAGATCCTGTGTTATGTCTTTTTCATAAGGGAAAAGATTCTGTGCACTCATTTGCTTTTGATGACCTTGGGTACCCTCTGGTGAAATACTGAAGGCTCGCAAGAATTTAAACGTAACGTGATTGCCTACTGTATGTGTGTGATTTCAGTATAAAGAATCAATTTCAACAATTGGTAAGGTGGAAAGCAGTCAGGTGATACAGAGCTTTCCCTATAGTCAGCTCGCTTCACTCTTGGCCTTGACGTAAGAGAACTCCAGGGAATTTGTATAAAGGAAGATAGCAAAAACCTTTCTGTATTCTGAGTTACTGGCTAGGTTCTGGTTGCTCACTGGAATTCTGTTGTTACTGTGGTGGTGGGGTTTTTTTTGTGTATGTGTTTTTTTTTTTTTTTTTTGTAGTTTTTTTTTCTTTGTTTGTTTGTTTTCCTGGAAGTTTTATATTTCTTTGTAAACTATGCTAGGTAGCTCAGTACTTGGTGCTGAAAGCATAAAGCTGCTAAAGGAGACATGCTATTGTGACTCAGCCTTAATTCAGAGGTATAATCTTACAACTGACAATTCTGAAATACGGGACTTTTAGTTCTTTATAATGTAGAATATAGTTATTTTTTATAATGTTAAATTCTGTTGTTTATCTAATAATTTATGTAGCTTGTTCTATTTTCTATGGCATCACTTTCCTGATTATTACTTCCTTTAAAATTCCACGTACTTTCAGTTACCACAGTAACCCTTACAGTGATCTTGTAATTGTTAAAAAGGGGTTGGTCACCCTGACAAGATGTGAAGAGCAGCAGTTGATTCTTTTTGGTTTTGAGCTTTTTCTCTGTAGAGAAATGTTTACAATAGTTACTGTACTTAAGTATTTAGGAGTAAGTACCGTAATAGTAATGTTTGATGAAATGAAAGCATCTGCTAGTATATAAAAAAGAGAAGAACTGAGAAAATAGAGTGGATGATGTAAAGAGAGTGAATATGTGGGGGGGAATATTCCCCCATACTTGCGCAACTCACAGAACCCTTTTTATTTCCCCTGTGTGCCATCCGTAGTCTAATGTAGCTTGCTTTTTTCTCTCCTTGCAGCTTGTTTCACTTACTGAGGAAGTAATGAAGAAAACAAAAACCAGTTCCTTACATTTCTCTAAATCCAGGGAAATGGGCTGGCAAATTGGTTCCTCTTTCTTTACAGCCTCTGATAGAGCAAGGCTGAAACTTACAGGAAATGCCACTTGTTTTGTCCTTTCTGTCAGTACCACTCCTGGTCGCTGTCAGAAGAGCAGGTGGGCTTTTGGTCTGGCTACATTGGGTGTTCTTACATTTGAGTTCCACTCAGGACAGAGATTGCCAGTAGCTGTAGCACTTGGATGTTCCTGCCAAGCTTAAAGTGTTGTGAAAAATAGCACTGCAGTTCTGGCCTTTTCACATTCAGAGTGATTACACTGCCTCTCAGAATACTGAGAGAATTTGTAAGGATAGGTAATTAGAAACTAAACTGTCTATTCTTCTTTGTGTCTATAGAAAGATCTGAATATCTGGTACTGCAGGATTAGGAAAGGCCTCCTAGAATGTCGTACCAATTCTTCTCACTGGCAGCTACAATGTATATTTGGTTCCATTCCAAAATAGTTTGGCTTTTGGGGAAAAGGTGCGTGGTTTGCTAGGCTGGGAATACATACTGACTGTTAAAACATAACACTTTCACATAGTTTTGTAAAATTGTTATATTTGGGGCTATCTGACTGAAGAACTTTAAAGGTCCCAACCCGTTCCTTATGTGCTGGAAAAGCTTCCTTTTAGTATAAGGGTATTGATTGTACTGTTACTGTAGAGGTAAGAGAAGCTCTTTTAACTGAATTAGATTTATTAGCTAGTCATATCCTGATCAGGGTCTTTCAATGCCTCTTACCATGCAAAACAAAGTTTGTATGTACAGGCATTATCTTTTTGTAGGCTGGTAAATGCAGTTGGAAAAATTAGACAAGCTATGATGCATGCAGACCCTTCTCATGTTTGTAATATCTGTGGACTTAATTCATGTTGGGTTTAGTTTGTTTTGATTTCTTCCTAAAATCAGAATTTCGGTTGCTTGTCCAACACAAATTTTTGGTGTGTCATCTACTACCAGGTTTGGAGCACAGTTTGGGGCTACATTCTCTGTCACAGTTACACAGTTTAGAACATATTTTCTTTACCCTTTATTATGTGCTTGGACTTGTGTGTTTTTCTTACAGGTTTTAAATTATAACCTAAACTGTAAAAACAACCAAACAAAACCCCCCAAAACGAAACAAAAACCCCAATAGTTCAGTGGTTTTTTCCTGTTTTCTGTAACATATCTGTTGTATTGAGTTCACTTAATAACTCACATGCATGCTCCTAAAATATAAATTCCCAAACCAATTTTTGCAATTGCAGTTTTGCTTATCTTGCTGAATCTGAAAGAAACATCTGATTTTACCATTGTAATGGTATGGTGATACCAATGTAATGATAGTATCTGATTACCACTTTCTGGCAGTTAGAATACAACATTCTCGGTAACTACCAGCAGAGGGAGTGCATTTATTTCAAATAAACTGAATGAGCGCAGCCTAAAGAGCTCTACTTTTCAGACACCGTCCAATGCCAAAAATACTGTGTTCACGCAGCTGATTTGAACAACAGTAAAATGAAAATTTGAGGTAACTTTTAGAATGTAGATTTGTGAGAGTATCAAATACTGGGTTGAAAGTGCCTGATTCCCTGTTATTCTTCACCAGCATTACAAAGCAGGTGCCATGCTTTGTATTCTCATTCTGATTGTGAGCATGGGTGATCACTGTTTTGAGTTCCACCAGCCAAAGGTGCAGAGCACCTGCAGAAGATGCAACTTGAAGCAGAATCTGGAAAATGAGATGTAGCAATGTTGGCTTCTGTTGGCTTCTAAGCAATACTGAAATACTGAAATCCATACTAGTGGCATGATACTGTTGTTTTTACAATCCGTCTAACTTTTTCTTTGTTTTACTTTGTCCATTTTTTGAATTGTCTGTTACTATAGGATGGATGGGTTTTGTGTTTTGTTGTTTTGTTGGTTTTTTTTTTTAAAGCTTTGTTTATGCTGAAAGATGTTGGTGTGCGTACACTCAACAACTTATGCCTTGCTTCTAATTTCAGTGATCATGAATTCACAACTGTGCTCCACATTTCTATCTGTAAATTGTGAAAGTGCTGAGGTTCTCAAAATAGTAATTTTAAAAAATTTTCATGCAGGGGTAAAGTCTGTAGTGAAAGTGAAAATAGTTCAGATGAAGAATTAACTGGGCCTTGCAAGCAATCCCCGACCTCTGCTCAAGGTCCAGCGGAGGATACTGATGATGAAGAAGACTTTATTGGGCCACCACTTCCGCCTGGGTTCAAGGATAGTGATGACGATAAAGATGATGATACAGAGGAGGAAGATAACGTAAGTATGTTTTCTCTCTTTAATGTCTTATGTCTTAACACTTTGAGTAAACTCAAATTTGTAAGCCTGTTCTTCCCTTTATGATTGAATTTGCAGGTCAAGCATGACTGTTGTTTCAAATGCATTTTGTGTGTGTGTGATTGTGTTTTGGTTTTCTTTTTTTTTTTTTTTTACCCTAATAATTATTAAATAAATGAAAATAATTGTTTTCATTTAAAAACACCAGGGTTAAAAAAAATGCATACATGTGAGTCTCAAGGGAAATTCATCATCAATTAGTATATATTTTGTTTTCACACTATGAAGTAATTATATAAAAATATATATAAATATTTTTATAGTTTGTTTACCACTGCATGTGTAGAATTTTTTTTTTCCATGAAAGAGGAGATGGGTTTGAGTTTAGAGAGAACAATTCTGTCAAAACCGTGGTGAAGGCTTTTTCTTTTATTTTTGTTTGTTTTGATTTGCTTTTTTGATAAATCTAAGAATATGCCAGATTGGTTTTTTTCTTGGATTGTCTTTTTCTATTTGTGTTAAAAGCAAGAAAACCCCTAACAGCCTAAGTTGGGTAACACAGGTACTTGGTTGCCATATCTCTATTCAGTTGGAAGTTTAATGGTCTCATGTTCATTTTCCAAAACTTCCTGGACGGAATATTTTGCTGCAGTTGATTTTATACTGGTTTTCATGCAAATTTCTAGCAACAATGACAAAAGTCCTCTAAAAACAGCCTTACGTATGCAACTGTGAACCGTTGGTAGCAGAAAAACCCTCTTATATCCAGTTGCACAAATACGGACCTAATCCTAAATCCCAAATTCCCAGCTGTCTCACAGGTTTCTTTTAAATTAAGTTTCAGTTTTGAATTGATGTTCAGTTAGTTTGGTTTTTATAAAAGCTCTTAATCTTGCATCTTGTGTATTTTAAACGTAAGTTTAGAGTGCTTACTTAAAATGAGTTAAAGAAATTTCGTAAGCAATAGCATAACTGATTTTCAGAGTGAGCCTTACTTGCATGATCACAGGGTTTTTTGTTTTTTTTTTTTTTTGTTTTCCAGGAGATAAATGATGTTTTAGGATTTTTCATTACTTTGTTTGATCTGCTTGATTCACTGTTGCCTATGGATTTCTTTAGTTATCACACAGTATATTTTAGCACTGTATCTCCTGTGATTTCATCTGTACCCCACACGTGACTTGTGTCTTAGTGAACCAACTGTCGATAAATCCCAAACTTTCCTGGAGAATGTTGTAAGCCTTAAGTTAGGTTAAGATGTAATATAAAGCTGTTTAAGGCATTCTCTTAGCTGTTAGCTGTCATGGAACTGTGGAGTAAGTCCATGTTCCTGAAGGTGTCATAGATTTAGCAGATTTCAGTTGCTTTGAATCATGTCATATTGAAGTTACCGCTTTTCTGCTTCTTTTGTGCCAATTTCTCTTGAATGCTGAAGGGAAAACAATTTGTGGAACTAGCTGATTTTTACTTCAATGTGTTTTTGCCAGTAGTTGCTTTTTTTGCTGCTTGACTAGTTTAATTTCTAGCAAGATTTTGGTATAATTTTTTTATTTATAAATGTTTGAATAATGCTGCAGCTAGCTTGATAAAATGGACTTCCTGGAAACTGGAGTTAAAAGACCCCAGTGAAAAGTTTCAGACAGAAAGGTAACTTGCAGACTGGTATGATTTAAGTTTGTCTGAACATAAGACAATAGTTACAAAACAGTCTAGAATAGATTTTTTGAGAATAAGCAGAGCAGCAGAAATACGAGACTTGTGGGTTTTCAGTCTAAACAGTTAATTTATAACTGGGAAGATTTTGTGTCAGCATGGATGCCAGAGGCCTTCGGGGTTTAGAGCCTCCCCTTACTGCTGCTTATGAACTCAGTTATTTTCTTTCCTGTAAAGGGAATCAGGAAGCAGCTGTGCTTTCCTGATTTCCTGTTGATCGATTGGTGATCATAGTATGATCCTGTGAGCCCCAAGGAAAGCAGGTGTTGCTGTTATGAGAATTCTTGTGATTCCTTTTTTTTCTTGCTTGTACATCAGGCTGTGGTTGGTACGTGTGGGGGGCAGAACAGGGAGAGGAGAAACAGAAAGCTCCCTTGAATAATTTTTTTGTTTCCAGATGTGCTGTGAGACTGTCTCTCTTTTGTTATCATATTTTGCTGCTGAAGTAACTTTTTTAAAGCACAATTGTCTATATTTTTGACCTTAAAGGAAACATTTTCCTTTATATGAGTTGCAGTTCTGTAATATGAAGCCATATGAACTTTGTATAACAGAAAAAATACATCAGAATACTGGCTTTGTCCTGGCAGTTTTGCCACTGTCTCTCAAGCCTGACTTTTGATGTGTTTTTTATTATAGGAACATTGTTTTCCACCATAGCTTGTTCGGTTGTTTTTGCTTTCTTGTGAGAGACAGTAGAGATATTTGCCAACGTTGCTTGCTGTGAGGTTAGCATCTTTTGAATTGGCTTGTGAATACCCAGCTCACATTGGGTCTTTTACTGAGTAATCGTCAGGTGGAAAGAGTAGCTGAGGGTATTATCTTTGATGGGAATTCTTCATACCTTATTGGTGCTTTTTATAGGAAGTTGAATACCAGTGTTTAATGGCTGAATGTTTTGAGTCAGCACTGCTACTTTTTGGCTATTGTACATTTCTGTAATTTAAATTTATATGCGATACAAGCTGACCATCCATTTTTGAGGAGAGGTGGTGGTACCATAAGGTGGTACATACATGAATTCTGACTTGAGTTACTTTTTTCTTAGAATTTATGCAAGTTCATTTGGTATACTCCAATTTTGTGGTAGCTGTTCTAAAGCATTTTTCTGTCTTTAACTAAATTCTCTATTAATACTGATGGTAGTTACATTTAAAAAAAATCGATTTAATGACTTGTTCATTGAGTGTAATTTGCCTCCATTCATGCCGGAAGTGATGGTTCTTAACAAGGCATAATATGGTTGTAAGTGCTTATGCAAATATTTTACAGTGTCTGTTATGTATTAGTGTAAGGAATACTGCTATAGCAAGTATATTTTAGGAACAACAGGTACACCTGGTATCAATCCCCTCTGATATTTTCTTCTTGTAGTGTTCTGTTCTATATGAGATTTGCATTTATTTGGAGAGCAAGGAAAATGAGGAGAGCTGTCTATTTGGATTGTTGTAAGTGCTTTTCTGTAGCGCTTTATACTCTGAAGATGGAAGAACCTGGTTGGAGTTCAGTGCCAGTTTTTCACATGGTCATAAGCTGTGAGAGGAGGAGTGAGGAAGCAGAGTGTCTCCTGTGGCCTAAAACTTTTCAGGTTTGTTTTTTTTGTCCCCAGAACCATGCCTTCCTGGAAAACTTGAGGAAAGTATTTTTGTTTCCAGGCAGGGATATCTTAAAAGAGAAAACTGCTTGTTTTGCAGATGGCATGTTCTTAAGAAGGGCAGTATTTCATGTGGTAAGCATAGAGGTTGGGATATATAGCAGAGTCTTTGCCAGCTTTTTTTCCCCGGCAGGACGCACTGGGGGTGTATCTGGTGTTTGTGCAAGTAAAATAAAACCTGGGCTGGTGGGGGACAGGAGAAAAGCCAAAGCAGTCATGTTAGTGTTGGTGGGTGGACAGCTTCAAATGTAGGACAGAAGCATTTTTCAAGGTAATGGATTACACCTATTAAAAGTATTGGTAAAAGTGTGTGTATTTATTGGTATTTTCATCTACATGTCTTTAGAATATGTGCTGAAGTCTTCAGCAGAACTTGATGGAGAGCTAGCATCTTGTGGTGCTTTTCCTCACTTGAAGTAACAGGTGAAGAATAGAGGTGGTTGTTGGAAGAATTTGCCAGATGGGTTAGCAAGGCCATATCTTCCGCCTGGAACTTAGTTACAGTCAATTCTTCTTTGGAATGGAGATCTGTTTGTCTCTGTAGTACCAAAGGGATACATAATCATATTATAATTATGTCCCTGAAACAAGTACAGCTTGGACATCTCCAAGGCTGTACTCTGATTTGGGCATATTTCCAAAATGATAGTGTAGCCTTATTCCAACTTTTAGAATTATTTTGAGATACTTTTAGATTTTTGCAGAGGTTTAACAGGACATACCAGTAATACTCATTTATTCAGAATGGAACAAAGCCATTTCCTGCTCATTTAGATGGAGAATTAAGTACATTGTAGTTGCTCCAATTAGAATTTGGCTATGCTACTAGGCTAAAAAATAATGGTGGTATAAAAATTAATAAATTCTATGTGGATTTTTAGCAGAGCTGAGGAGTTACAACATTTAGGATAAATCTTAGGAAAAAAGAGGATTGTCCTGGTAACTGCTGAATCTTGTTTAGCTAGTCAGGTTTATTGTCTAAAGAAGGAAACGTGAAGTAAGCTGAACAAAGCATCTTTTGTGCATGAGTAGAGGAAGAAAAGTGCAGCTTTGAGGATGAGAGGCATGATTTTTGAACTACTTGTAGTCATTGATATGCTGATGCAAAATATATAGTAATTTCCACTGCTTTTGATTTCCTTTGTGTTACCTTACTATATTAAAAGCAAACTACTTTTGTGATATATGTGCATAGTATGTTCTTAGGTCTTGACAGTACTTCTGGTGTAAAAATAAGGAAAATTTTCTTCATGTGGAACTTGTAACAAGTCATGGATTTTTTGTTAAGGATCATTGATGTGTTTGCTGGTGTTGCAAAGAATAAGTGAAATTATCTCAAAACTTGAGTTAGGAAGGATTTGCAAGCTTTGCAAAATATAAAGCAAAATCAAGCCCCTAAATATTGTATAATGAAGCTTAGTATAAGCAAGTGAGAGTATCATTCAGAAGCTGGAAGGAATACCTAACAGAAGAAACCTCAAGTTTCATGTAGACAGTGTACAAGAGGACTCTTAACAAGGTAATTTCCTTAGGGAATGTTTATCTTTTATAAAAAGGCATGGGGTGCTTGGTCCTTCCCTCTTCAACCCAGTGCACCAGAGTTTATGATTACCAG